AAGCTGTTGCCACTTAATGCTTATATCTATAGCTTTTCCACCAGTTGCACTTGCTTTCTAAATCGTCCATGTGGAAAATTCTAGGTGTGCTCTAAGTAGGCCCTTTTCTCTGCACCAGTAGTCAAAGAAACAAGTCTGTATGTCGAAGAGGACTTTTTGGGTTCGACGAGTGATGCTAGACTTCGCCTCCAGCTGCATTCGCTTCTAAAGCAGCTAAGTAAAAAATGGTAGCATCTTCTAAATAAGGTCTTTTTCGTAACCTTGCTGTTATTTGACTGGTGAGCCAGTCACTAACTAGTCAAGACAGCGGGTCCATCTCTCGGGTACTCAATAAGACTGACTCAACTGCCGAATTGAGACTTTACTATTTTCGAACTAAGTGTGGGAGAACCATGCAACGGCATGAATGGGCCGGCTCGACCGAAGTGATACCACGGCCTCACAGAAAACCAACGTGAAACAACGCGTGTTTTGTCGTATGAGTGAAGTTACTGTGTAAGCCCAATTACCCCCCTCCATTCCTTATTCCCAAAAAGACGATAACGTACTTGTAACGCCTCTGATGTCTCGGGTGTTCACGGCGCCGATGACTTACCATCAGTTGATCCGTCTGCTCGTTTGCCAGCTTACCCATAAAATAGACATAATAAATACCGATACAATTTCAATGTACTTATTTACATAAGTATACGTAGCTATTCTTTTGTAGTTGCCTTTTAGTAACAACGGAAAGCATTGTCTTACCTTAAGCGTCTGCAGTTGGCTGATCCCTTTAATCATCATGAACTGGATAACTTGCTATTGCAACATAAGCAATTATGGTTATGCTTAAATATGTATGTACAATTTAAAACTTATACATGTATAATGTAACATAACATCACGCCTTTTATCCCCGAAGGGGTAGGCAGACGTGCACACAGAGGTAACACTCACCTTTAACTATTAATGTTATGAGTCCCATGTAATAGTGGGTGAGCCTATTCCCATATACCGGGTACATATCCAGACTTTGTGCTACTACTGAGATTTTTTTTAAACTCAGTAACACTTTGCCCGACCCGGAAATCGAACCCGAGATCCTTGCCGCACTTGCGACCACTCGGCCAACGAGGCAGTCTATAATATAATTTGTACAATTGTAAATAATAGAAGGTCTCCGACTACTTTCCCTCATTCCACAAGTCATCCTGCCTGTGAAAAAGGGAGTATTAAATTTAAATATCACGTCAAGCATGGACCTATGGGTCTATGGGCGGCGCTGATAGTTTACCATCAGGTGACCCATCTGCTCGCTTGCCTCCGATTCCATAAAAATAAACCAAATCTTCTTTTGGTTGCAATGTATAAAAGCCTAAAATTATGGTGCTAATTCTAGTTTACGTTCACAAAATAACTAACAAAAGCTGTGTTTTCTTCTAATAATTACGTTTGCTCATATCTTTGCGTGTTTAAAAGTGTAATATCATCACAATAACATTACGCTACGTATAGAAAAAGTACTCCAAACACTTTCACTAGTAATTAAAACTTTAATTCTCATTTCTATCTCCCTTCACGACCATGCAATGGTACAATCTAAACAGATTCACATAATTATCACAATTCCTCATATTTACAGCTAACCCAACAATTACAAGGCATTATAGATTTTGTGCTCGTAAATTACAGGCGGACTTCCCTCCATTCATACCCTAAGGTCCATCCACAATGCCATTTAACTATATCAATAAAATAATTATCCAATCATGAAGCAATTTACTCCGTTTGTCCCCGATTTTTACGTCTCTCTCTTTCTTATACAGATGTCATATAACGCTCTCTCGCTCGTTACGAAGCGGCAACATTTGAGGACGGTGACACGGTTCGCTCTTAGCGTCTGGGATACAGTTCTGCCAACTTTTTTCTGCAGCCACACACGTCTTCTTACTTTCACATTAAGGTTGATTTTTCTTTGTTTAACTAGTTTAATATGTTTGTGTCAAGTGTACACTTTGATCAACCAGTTTGCTGTGACCTCTCGTGCATTTTCTCTAGTTTCAAGGTCTGGTCTGAACGCGAGTTGTTCTGCGTATAATTTTCCAAATAAAGACTTGTAAATTAGTTTGTTTACGTCAAACTCCTTTAAAGATGGGAGGTTATTGTTTAGACATGAAGATGATAATTAAGTAGCGAGGTAGAACCAAACGAGTTACAATGTAAATAGAAAGCACTTAATTTGAAGATTTTGTTGACATACAATTAGGTGTGTTGTTGTTATTGCAATTGTTTTTTTAGGTACACTTTGAAAGCCTATGTTTATTACCATTATTAGTGTTTGTCCTGTAACGAAGATAATGCAAATTTATTAATTTTATGGTGAATCAACAGCTACATTATACCAATTTAACAGAAAAATAGTAACATTTGGCAAACCCTGCGCATTTCTCAAATGTAACCAACTTTGAATTATCCGGACCACTAAGATGATTGAAAGCTTTCAGGCTTTATAGCTTCTATATTTTGATTGATTAAAAATAGTGTTAATAACTTAACATAACATCACGCCTTTTATCCCCGAAGAGGTAGGCGGAGGTGCGCAATATGCCACTGTACAATGTAACACCCACTTTTCACTATTTATGTTATGAGTCCCATGTAATAGGGGGTGAGCCTCTTGCTATATACCGGGCACAATTCCAGACTCCGTGATACTACTGAGATTTTTTTATTAAACCTAGTAAGACTTTGCCCTACCCGGGAATAGAACCCGAGACCCCATGCCCGACAGTCGCATTTGCGACCACTGGCAACGAAGTATTAATACGAAAACTAAACTGAATTCGGACATTAAATCGAACAATATTACCAGTTTATGATTACCTCTATCTAGTGCAATGCCACACTCCACACCTCAAGCAAAACAATGTATATTTATATCTACTAATCAAATAAAGACAATTACTACAACAAGTAATAAGCCCATACATAAAAACGTGATAGTGATGGTGTTCACATTTGCATAATTACTGTTAGCGCCCAACTAATGGAATAATTATACTAGTAAGTAGTGTTAGGGCATCCTGTATATTAGCAATGTTAAACAATTATGAACCCTAAAATACCCTACTGTAAGTATTGGCTATGTGCGCGACGGTGGCGACGCGTAGCGTTTATAACAATACAACATTTGCGGAAGCTGTCAAATAATAACAATTAAAAACATTATAATTTTCTTTGCAAATATGAATAATACCAAAGACATCGTTGACATTATTTAAGTGCAATTTATTCATTAGTTTTACTGTAAAATGAATATTATAATAATAAAAGCCGGGTTTGCATCATCCGCATTTGTTTCCAATTTCTGCCGTGTTGTGCGCTGCGGTCGTTATCTGTCCGCCACTACTCGCTTTGCACATAGCCAATAGGTTCTTACTTATTAAGATAAAACAAAATTAGTATTTATTGTATAAAGGTTTAAGAACAGACTTTCTCACTCATTTCTATCCTCTTATTATAATGATGGAATCATTACAATGATTACATGTATACAACATTATTGACTTTTTTAAGAAGGGGGGAAAATCATCGAATGTCTTCTCCCGCCTGGGTGAGGCCTTCATCAAAATTAAATTATTTTGACTGTTCAATACAATAAAATATTTAAAAATTCTTGCACTTTCATTAATTGATTTTATAATAACTTAATTTTAGTATTTTTTCAGTATTGCTTTCAGAAATAAGTAGGTATGCTGTTTGACGCTAAACAAACGTGTCGTCACAATACACAATCTCGTACAAAATTCTTAAAACTGTCGTTTTTGACAGTTCGAAAAAAAGTATTGAATTTGACTAATTGACAAGTACCCAATTAATAGGAAAAGATCTGAAGAACATGACACAGGTACTGACCGTCACATAACTTATTTACTTCGTAAAATAAGAAGTAGACTTAAAGTATAATACTTTTTTAAATAGGAGGCAAACGAGCAGACGTATTATCTGATGGTAAACAATTAGCATCGTCCATGGACACCTACATCTCTAGTGCGTCAGGAGTCACAGGTGCGTTGTCGGCCGTTTAAAAAAGGAATACGCTATTTTCTTCAAGGTTTGAAGGTCGTATCGGTTCAGAAATACCACCGATGACAGACCTTTCGACAGTTTTAGGGTGCGAGGCAGAATATAGCCAACTAATTAGATAGGTACTCTATCAAATTCTGTAAACTTTCAAACTCAAACTCAAACTCAAAAGCATTTATTTCAATTAAACCATAATTTTGTACTTTTGAAACATCAACAAATATGAAATTTATAATAGTCTGTCAGTCTGTCCGTCAGTGAAGCTAGGCTAGGCATTGAATTACCTATAACTATTTTTACCGGCGCAATCTAAGAAGGAAAACTCACACAAAATTAGATTTGAAAAAAAATCGTGAATATTAAACACTCCATCGTCACATTAACCGACATTATTCACACCCCGCACGAAATAAAGTAACAAATAATGATGGTGCAGTATTTCTTCCTAGCTATATCGTGATCATCAATCATGGCGCATGTTTGTCATCACACGCAGCCGAGATCTCAATCATTGAATACTAATGTCTAAACGAGTTAAATTATTGTTATAGGTTGTCTTTTAGAAGTAAATTAATTTAATTATGTGGCTACTGAATTTATTTATGTATTTAATAGGTACACAAAATAGAAAAACTGTGTAATACACAACAGAGTAACAACATAAAATAGTAAATGGTAGACAATTTTACAAAAAGACCAAGTCTATTGAAGTTAGAGATAAATGGTAGGGGAGGGCGGGGCTGGTTCTAACAAATTTTGTATTATAGTTTATATTTTCTTTGGTAACGAATTTTTTAGTTTAATTTTTAATTGAAAACATGCTTTGGTTATTCAGCTATGATATTAGTAGCAAAATACATTCGGTATGTAAGTGCTTTTAGAAAGAGAGCCGTCAAAACCAAAAAAGTCATTTGTTAATATGTGCCCCGCATTTGGGGCAAATATTAACGGAGCTGGGGTACGTTTTAACGTAAGGGGCAATTATTAACAGAGACAATTTTTTTAGGAAATACTTAAATAAAACATCATTTACTCAAACAAAAATATTGTATTATAGATAATATATATATTAAAAATATATAAACCAGTTAACAACAAATTAAACTATACGTTTTAAAGTTACTAAAGTTTTCATAATCAAGCTACCACTTTCTTGGGTTTCTGCACCGTCGTCACTCCCGTCTCATCTACGTTCCAGATTCTACTCGAAGATATATTGTATCGTTGAAGAACTTCTCGATATTTTTCAAAAAATGAATGAACATTTGTACGGTTAAATGATGTTGCTCTGCTTAAGCTTGTCGCCTCAGGACTCCGAATAGACAAGGATGCGTTGCGTTTCATAAAACCAACGAACCAATCTTTGCCAGCCTTTCCGTCTCTTTTCCAAGATTCTGGAATATTATCTATTTTGTATGCAATGGCTAGCTCATAAGCTAATTTTTTGACATCATCTGGTAGCAATCCAAAATAGATATTAGAACATTTCACTAAATAATCTGCTATCATTTTTTCTTGGTCAAGATTGAAAACGAGACGATTTTTTTTATAACCCACATCAACAGGAATCCCCGCCTTTTTTTTCTTTACGTATTTGTACAGTGTTACATGACAGATGTCATACTCCGCAGCAACATCTCTAAATTTTCTATTATTTGTTATAATTTCTTCGGCTGCCAGCTCAAATACTTCTTGAGACGTGGAACCTCGTGCGCTCTTCCTTTTGTAATTTCTCATCCTATAACAAAACACAGTTATTGCACAAAATAATCGTTTAATATCAAACACCTACATATGGGGTAAATATTAACATGTTAATATTTGCCCCGCTCAAATTGTTAATTTTAGCCCCAAGATCATTTTTTATACTTCATCAATTACAGAAAATAATCTAGTAAGAATAATTACAAACAATTATTATAGTTTTAATGTCTATAGAATAGAGATTAAATTAAGATAAAGTTTGATTCAATTTAGTGAATAAAAAATATCTTAAATCAATTTATTACGAAGTACAAAAAGTTCGCTAACCTGTAAATCCGAGGGTCCTGTGCACAACTATCACTAGCGACGGCCGGTCGAACACTGACAAGTCTGGACACGATCGGCTGTGTTTATAGGGTATTCTAAACCGAGTATCATTCTTTTGACACTTCGCGTTTGGCGGGAATAAGCTTGTTAATACTTACCCCCGTTAAAACCAGCCCCGCGCTCCCCTAATAATAAAAAAAAGTAACAATGTAATAGGGTAGATGCCTAATTTTTATTTTAATGTCCATCTGGTAGATTATTTTAAATCATTACACACGTATTTTTTATTTTCTTACAGAAACGAATACTTTCGACGATATATTGATTTGAAATGTCTTCTATATGTACATTTTAGACGTAGAAATGACGTTTTACCCACTCCTAAACTTTGATTCGTTCTATCTAAATATTGTTTTATTATACGATAAAATTAAAAAATACGTGTCTAATATTTTTTCATTACCTAACTTATGGACTAATTAGATTTTTAATTTTCATACCCTATTATCATCCCAATTAAACATTAAATATGATAATAACATTGAATATGATGATAGTACCAATGATTATAATAAATTATGCACTAAGGACTGATGGTGTTGCCGACTTGCCGAGTGTCCATGGTAGACACTGTTTGCTTACCATCAGAGGATGATTTGCTCGTTTGACCCTATTTTATAAAAAAAAAAATATATAAAATCTAGCCAAATCAATCGCTTCAACTCAGTTCAGACTTATATTGCCAATTTATTATATTACCTGTTTATACAAACACTGTTAGATTAGCAGTAAATTATATATTAATGCGTATGTATATAATATAATCCCCAATCCCCGAATTCCCCACGATCCTCAAACTCCTAATCCCAAAAGGCCGGTAACGCACTTGTAATGTTTCTGGTGTTCCAGGTGTCCATGGGCGACGCCGATTGCTTACCATCAGGTGATCCGTCTGCTCGTTTACCGACTTATGCCATAAAAAAGCAGTTTATAAATCTTTTGAGTATTTTAATAGTAATAGACATTATTATTTCTCAACTTATTATTAGCACTAGTGTCTCATAAACTGTCTACAAAGATAAACACTGATTTAATATGTAAGTACCTAAGATCTTCGTGATTAAAACCTATAATAAATAAATTAATAAGTTAGACAACAATTTAGTCATAAATTCACATTGAATTATAGCCGTCATAGGCTATAAAATAATACTCGATAACATAGACTTAGTCTCACGTATTAAGCCCGTCACAGACCTAGTCATACTTTATATTATAGTATGTATACCTTATCACACATTTTCAATACAAATTTTTGTGTGGCACACATAGCTATATATAGCTTTATGTACCTATATGTATATGTACTATGAGACGTCATCAAAATAGGTACATCCTTAAAATTTATTTTGATATATGAATGTATTTAAATCGATACAATCGCAGACCGATAATATACCTATTATATATTATTTTTATATACAGGTAATAATAGCTCTCGTCTGTGGTACCTAGCTATACTATAATGTATAGCTCGATATATTAATATATATTACAGCTAAGTATATGACGGCCTTTACTCAGCATTATTAATTAGTCTAGGAATATAGCTACATTAATTGACTAAATAGCCGTCTTTGTATATTATGGGAGTTCATAAATTATATAATTTTATTACCTTGCAACGTGATTATAACTAAGAATAGTGTCTATATCGTCTCCGGGATGGGCGATAGAGGATATTTTTAGTTCGTTGATTACTAAGTTTTCTGATGCAGCGCTTTAATGATGGTAGATGGGATGCAGAGTTGAATATGTTTTTATAATATTTAAAGTAGGTACTCATGACATTTTGTTATTCTGTCGAACAATACATACCCGTATACAACAAAATATGAAGGTATGTAACTGGACGATTCTACAAAAAAAATCGCAATAAATTTACGGCGGCATTATCTTAAAAACAAAGTTAATAATTCTGCTGATTAAGACCAAATATTTGGTTACAATAAATTGAGCCGTGTCACTGTTCAGCCAAGTTTAACAATGCGAGAATAATAATTTGTTTAATAAAAGTTTAAGTTTTTCGGAGAAACACCCAACTACGTAGACAAATATAAAAATTACTTTCAAATCAAATCAAATCTGTATAATAAGAAGCAAGAGAATTAGGGCCATCCTGCAAGAAATAGTGACGGTCCAAATAAAAAGATCTTTTAAATATTTCAATTAATTTCCAAAACCACGTCTGCAAATTCCTTCGGTACTTGATTGGGTTACCTTTTGATCATAGTTACAGGTTCATCAAAAAATCATGTCTGCATCTGTCTTACCTGAATATCAAGAACATTTTATTTGTCAAAGCTTTCAATAAATAAATAACTACAAGTGATTCGGTGATTGGTTTGTAATTCAAATCTAACAAACAACGTCTTTAAGAAACATGTTTGAAAAGAGCTCAGTGGGCCAAAACACACAAACGTTGAAAGCAGTAGGTAATCGATACTCGTGTGATCATGTAATCCATTTATTTATTACACACAAACTTGAAAGACTAACTAGTTACCATATATTAAAGACTTAAATATCCATAAATAAACAGATGGCGTGATCTACGAACCACGGTTAGCTTATATATAAGAACTGCGTTTACGCCATTGCAAGAATTTATTGTATAATTCCAGGGATTGTAAACTATTGGCATGCGTGCCATCGATGGCACGCAACGCAATATTTCGGGCTAATGGACAGATAGATAGGTAAAATAATCTTTATTATACACTACATTACTAGAACACACACATAATATATACAGAACCAGAAAAATATGAGAAATACAGAAAAAATTAAACACGCATAGCATTTGCCGTATAACGGCGGAGTAGAATACTCCGAGTAGGTACTCCGAGCGCGGGTAACTCGCCGCCCGAGTGTTCAAAAAAACAAGCACAGCTTACTTGTTGCTTTCGTAGGCAATGGTAATATAAAGAAAGGGTCAAAAGTATTTCATATCATTATTTTATTAATCTCATTATCATTATTGGAGACCCAATTACCCCTCTCCCCATTTCCCAAACCCCGAGTCCCCAACTATCCTCAAATTCCTAATCCGTAAAGGCCAGTAACGCACTTGTAACGCCTCGGGTGTTCCAGGTGTCCATGGGCGACGCCGATTGTTTATCGTCAGGTGATCCGTCTGCTCGTTTACCGCGGCTTATGCCATAAAAAATCTTTAGAAATGGCATTTCGATACGGAAATGTTTGTCATCCCTGGTGTCGCAAGTCAATATGGTTGTTAAAATATTACTGCAGTTATAGCAAACGGTGATAAACTAACGCTACTGTTGACTTGGGTAAAGGTCGTGGGTTCAATTCCTATCTAGTTATTATATTATGTGTTGTAACACAGGAGCTATGTGGTTAGAAAGTGTTGCGGGATTGGAGATTTAAAAGGTAAAATGAATTTCGAAATAATTTGAAATTGTGTGGAATTTTTATAGTGCTATGTAGTAAAAAATGATGAAGATAGTTTACAAATTTGATAGGAATTAATACAGTATCTCGATCATTTTGCTAACCGTTATTTTATCTAAGGGTTCGTCCACATCTAGCGAATGCTCCGCGAATGCGCCGTTCGCGAGCCGCTCGTAAGCCACCCACGAGCTGCGCGCGTGCTTTGCATTCGCAGAGCATTCGCCAGATGTCGAGGCACCCACTTATGGACAACTTTTACAGCGCCTGATAAAATCGGAGCAATAAACTAATTGCCAATTTTATTCTACAGTTAAAAGTTATCTGGTCATTGAAAAATCGGCACTAAAATGCACAAACAAACTTATACATAAAGTAATTTCTCTTATAGCGGAGATAATAAATAGTACCTACGTCGATCGTACATCTACCGGGACAATAGGCGTGTCGATAGGGTAAAAAATCAAAAAAGTAATTAGTCCGTCATTAAGATCGCACGAAAATATCAGACACGTATTTTTTGTTTTATCAAATTAACAGAAGAATACGTAGTTATTCCGCATTAAAGTTAGGGAGTGGGGGGTGTTGACGTCACACTTACGGAGAAATCGTACCTAAGTGTGACGTCACGCGTCATTTTAACTCAAAATATCTACATGTTTTTTTGGATACGAGAAAAAAGAAAAAATACGCATCGAAGATTTTTAAAATATCTAAAAGACGGACAAAAAATTAAAAAATAGTCGCCATGCCTAATGTACGCAGCAGCCGTACTTTTCGTCAGACATTTTATTTTAACAAGTGGACAAAATTCAACAACAGTCTTCGTCAATCATTATTTATTATTAGTATCTTCTAACTATTTTACAGCAAACTAAAACAATACAATCAACGTCTGGACACTGGACAGCATGAAACTAATTACGCTACTGATACCCTAATTACCACTAAATGGATGAACAATGGCGGCTCAGTTGTAATAGCTCAGTGCTTTATTATTCACAAACTACGGATTGCATTGTAATTAACTAATGAGAAATCCTGGTCCTGATTCCCGTTCGTTCATTAAAACTGCATGGATTAAAATGGAGAAACAAAATATTGCGTAGGTAATTGGGATTTAAAAATGGTTTCACTCATTTGACACAATAATGCTCATTTTTCTATAGTTAACCGCTTTCATGCACCGATATGAGATACAATAGAAAATATTTTGTATCTCGCGTGGATCCATCCACGTTTAGACACACCAAAGGTTAAGGAATCTCTAAGCTAAGATAAGTGGGCTCACTGCCATTGCAGCGGTAAGTCCCTCATTGAGGAGTGGCTTGAGAGACGCTACGGCGTCCTCACCTACCGCCTGACATAGGTCCTCACCGGACATGTAAGTTTCGCGAGGTAAGTACCTGTGTCTGATGGGGCTGGAGCAAACGCATCGGGTGTCATCACTGCGAGGACCGCCCTGAGGACACGATGGAACACACGGTAGCGGAATGCCCTGCGTGGGCTGGGCACCGCCGTGCCCTCAGGGAAGTGATCGGCGATGGCGACCGGTGTCCGGGCCTAGTGCATGATGCGGAGCGAGGGGGACTG